CCACTGGTCTACATGCTGGACAGACTGACAGTCCACTGGTCTACATGCTGGACAGACTGACAGTCCACTGGTCAACAAAGTGCAGCATGGAGATGACTGAACACAACACCTGGAATGTACTTATTGTATGAACACACCATAAGTATGGAGTCCAGATGTGTTTGATGCTGCTGGGCAGACTTAGCTGGGGACGTCTGAGCTCTGCTGGTCCACTCTGTGGAGGAATCATGAAGAATTAGCTCCCATTCTGTCTGTCCACACAGAGACAAGCAAAACCTTGTCCATGTGGAGTCAGGATCAAAAAAACATTTGTTCTCCAGCGTCCAGCAACACCTTCCACTTGAGTCGAAGTTCCTACCTCTCTGCTGCTGCAGGTTGGTCCAATTTAAAGTCTATAAAATCATCCTTTGACGATTCCTTCTTTAGGGACACACAGCTGGGCTCAGGTTTGGGCTCAGCTTTGGGTGTCTGATTAAATCTGATATTAAAAATAATTGATTTAGGCTCATATTCATCAAATGCAATAAAAACTTTTCAAGAATTGGTACAAACTTCCTGTAATTTAGAGACTTGTTTCTTTCTTATCCTGTAGAACACATGGTAATAGTTCAGGTTCAGTTTTACTCTTTTTCTTTTTTATTATTTAGTTTTGTAGAACTGCTCTGTTAATTAAAAAATCCCATACACTCTAGCTTTCATTGTTTAAGTTATTTTATTATGACCATTCTCAGATGGGATATTTGTTACACAAAAACCCTTAAAGTACAGTAAACATTTAGAAAGAAAAGAACAAAAACTATAATAAATTAATACCAGCACATAAATAAACTACAGAACCATCATGCGAAAAAATTTATTTAAGAATCAATTTTTGACCCCTATGCTCACGATTTGTTTAATGAGTGAGTGTCGAGTTCTGGCGTGGAGAAGCGTTGTGGACAGATAGACGACCATCTCACCTCTGATCTTTGTTCTGTCCATCACGTTCCACACACAGAGTGGTTTTAGAGGAAGAGCCGTCCTCCGTTCTGTCCTCACACTGACCCATGCTGCTGAATTCACATCAGCTCACACACCTTTTCTATCTTAACCTGCAGAGGAAACACAAATCATTCGTCTGAACATGAACTCTAATCCACCTGATTCATAAACTGGTTCCTGCTGCAGCTGCAGAGAGGAAGTCCAAAGATTACAGTGCAGCAGAACAAACTGCTTTATTTCACAATTATCATACTATACAAGTGGATTATCTGCTCCATCTAATCTTGGCATAACTGAAATCAAACACATGTGAACTAAAATGAATGTAGTTTTATATTGAAAGGACTGACAGGACGCAGCAGGAAGCTGCTGAGTGCCATGTTAGAACATGACGCAGATTTAGTGAAGAAAACAAACATCAGCTGTTCATCATGTTTTTATTCCACTTCATCAATAATCTAACAACCCTGTAGATTTGTCTTAGAGATTAAACTTTGTGCTGAAATAAGAAGTCAGCATGTTCTCCAAACATGAGCGAGCAGAAACAAAGAGGAAAAGTTCCTGAGACCAGAGTCAAAGATAAAAAAACTAACATAGTTTGTTAAACACTTCAAAGTGCTGAAGAACACGTTCCATTCAACATGGACAGAATACTTTTATTCTGGTTCTGCGCTGAAGAAATAAAAAGTGTTACACTTTTTATTGATGCCATTTGACACAGTTGATCACAGACTAAAGATAAATACAGTATCTTAGAGCACATTGGTTTTATCAAAGCCCACAGTTTCCTGGTTTACAAATGAACACAATGTGTTCAGGTGGCAGGATCCACCTCTTCCTTCCTGGATGTTGTCAAAGGGTTCTGTTCTGGGGCTCATTTAATTTTTAAATTATTATCAATGATCTGTGTAACTATTTGTCAAATGCTTATTTTTATGTTGCTGACACGATTATTTATTGCTGGTCATCCTCACTTATTCAGGCTTTGACGTTTTTACAGGACACTTTTCTGCGACCTGTCCAGGTGTCCCCCGCCCCTCACACAGTGATTGCTGGACATGGGCACCGGCGACCTCCATCACCCAAAATGGAAAAAGCGGGTAAAAGATGATAGATGGAGGACACTTTTGATGTTATTTAGTCTCCTCTGCAAAAACTTAAACTAGTTTTAAATGCTAACAAAACTAAGCTTGTGGTATTTTCTAACAAAGGAGAGCGACCAGGGAGTATCCCACCAATTCTTACCCCACAAACATATAAAGCCTTACGTTACAAATACTTGGGATGTTTTCTTTATGCACTTTCAATTAAGTCAGAGTCAGAGATTCTTTATTGTCATTCGCACCACATGTGGTACATGTGGTGGAGCGAAATTATGTACACAGGGTCCCAGTTACATCCAACAATAAAATGTCTAAGAAAAACAGTAATAACATCTAAGATATGAACTAAGAAAAACATCAACTAAATATACACTAAGCACTCATAACATAAAACATTGAACATCAGCACAAACATGAACATGAGTCTGTGAGCAGATGTGCACGCATGAACACATCAACATTGAAACAGATCAGCAGCAACATGAAACAGATCAGCAGCAACATGATATGGTTTTTCACAGTGATTATTCTAGTTAGAGATTCATGAGTCTAACAGCCTCAGGGTAGAAGCTGTTCCTCAGTCTAGTGGTTCTACACTTAATGCTCCTCAACCTCCTTCCTGAGGGGAGTGGGGCAAAAAGTGTGTGTGCTGGGTGAGTGTGGTCCTTCATGATGCAGGTGGCCCTCTTCCTGCATCTGGAGGTGTAGATGTCTGTGATGGTGGGGAGGCTGACTCCGACAGTCTTCTGTGCAGCCTTCACCACTCTCTGCAAAGCTTTTCTTTCTGCATAAGTCGCAGGGCATGCAAATTATGCAAAAAACGGCAAACTATAGGTAAAAAAATACAGTGTACCAGAACGTATGGTAATCAGTTCAGAGCATTAACACTGTACACTTGCCCTCCAAAGCAAACAAGATGTAGTACATACCACCATTACAGGACATAGCAGTCAAATATTGAGTCAAACACAAGCTTAGGAAAGATGCTGGTTAAGGGTGGCCGGACCTATGGTTTCTTCCTCTCCTCACCACCTGTTACTGGAATGACATCCTTCTTGACGTATTCCATCGCTTTAAACAGAGTCAACAAACACCTTGTCTGTCACCTTTCTGTGCGTGATGTGATGCCATGCATGAAAAAGAATCCATACTGGACACCTGGTCGGTTCCGCAGGAGTCAGCTCACCTCTATGAATGCTGCTCATGTCTTTGCCACGCTTGCGATGTAATCAGCTGTGATGAATATGGATGCTTCTTTGAGTGGACTGGGCCTCCGCTGCGTGCTCGTTGTAATAGCTCCACACAGTCTTGATGATAATGCAGCCTGACCACGGTAACTCTCGATTTATCATCGAAGTCTCTTCTGCCCGGTGTCCAGTATACTGTATGTGGTCAACCAGCGGTAACTTGTCCATCTTCAGCGCTTCCATTAGCATTTTGGCTATCACTGCAGGTGTGCACGAACCAGGTGATTCAGGAACTCCAATAATCCTAACATTGTTACGTTTCATATTCCCCTCCATGGGCTCATGCCTTTTTCTCAGCCCATCCGCCTCAGACTTTAAATCCACCGTGGTCCTGTACAGAGCCCCCACCTCATCCGAACACACAGACAGTCCATTCTCAGCCTCTGTGACATTTAGCTTAACTTGGCCAAGTTCAGCTCTGAGGGGTGAAGTGTTTACAGAACGCTCCACTCTCACTGCTTGTAATCCGCTCCTAATCAAATTCAAATCATCTGTGAGGGATGCTGTCGTTTTTTTAACTGAGTCTTTAGAAATCTTTGTTTCAGTTTTCAACAACTCTGTTCTCATCTGAACATTGGGCTTAAAGACAAAGAAAGTTCACAGTTTCTCCTTGTGGACAAACAGGAAATTAAAGAGTGAGACAAAAGCAGCTGCCTCGTCCTGAAGGTGAATCAAAATGAGTTCTGCCCTCCACAGAGAGAAAAGCCACTCGGAGACTTTGACAGGAAAAGAAGAATGTTGAGTTAACACTCACCCTGATTCAGCTTTCAGTCCTCGTTCTTCTCTGTTCACTCAGAACGGACTCTGATCTCAAAGTGAACATTTCATGTTCTACATGAAGAAGCAGTTTATGATGCTTCAACATTTACTGGAAATCAGCTGAGTTTATCTGTGGGTGTGTTTCTGCGGCTCAAAGGTCAGTTTTTCTCACCTCACCTAAACAGATTCCACCATCCATATCTGCGTGAAGCAACACACATTTCACTGTGTCCACACACGACACTCAGTTTGTGCTGCAGCAACAAAAAGTCCAACAAGTGTTTGTGCACTTTTCTCTTCCTCTCTACCAGAGTGCTGTGGCAGCTCCACACTGCACACTCTGGACCATCAGTCCATTCAAGTCACACACAAGGCTCCCAGTTTCTGACAGGTCCACACCTGGAGGGTCAGGGAAATTTGGTCGATGTATGGATGTTTTTAACTACTATGGCTGAGCATGTTAACTGTCCATGTGTTTGCTACCAGAGAGTTCTTTTCTCTTTCAGAGACAGCAGAATGAGGATACTGCATGTGCAGCTGGACAGCCAAGGACACCAATCTGCCTGTGAGCCGGGAGCTGATGAGCTGATAAAAACAATGCTCGCACGCTGCTCGGGGCAGATTCTCGTGACCAGGCCCCTGCATGTAGAACTTCTGTACATCTGTGTAACCTGTTGTGAAAGTCTGCCCTCGCAAGGTAAACCAGCAAAAAATCTTCTCGTCGTTGAGTGTGGCCTCTTTGAATAAGTGAAATGAAAAGGGGATATTTTATCCAACATGGAGATTTTTGAAAAACACAAACACACATTTAACAACACCTGCAGCTGGACTCAAAGGACTTCCAGAATTGTTAAAGATGAAAACTGATTCTGTCTGTTGCTCCATCAATAACATCTGGAACCTGGATGGAGACAAGATGGGGTTCAACATGTGTTTTGGGGAAGCTCCCATTTTCCCTGAAGAAGAACAATTTTTTTATAACTGCACTCTCACTGTTTTTTGAGTTGGATTCTGCTTCTAAGGCTGGTGTCGTTGCAGAACTGATCAGTAAAATGGCCTCAAAGCAGAAGAGATTTAAAATTCCATCCCCTCCGTGGCCTACTGCTAACGCTAAAGCCTGGGACCGCCGTGATGGAGACGCTGATGAGACGGCTGCCTCGGCTCTCCCTCCACTGTGCTCCGGGGGGAGGATGAGTCAGCTCTGAGGACAGACCTTTTGGCCTCAATAAGAGCCGATGTTGTAGCAATGATTAAAAAGGAACTAAGGGTGGCTTATCAACAATGAGCTGCAAGCGGTCTGGATCGAATGGGCAAACACCACCGCGAGTCTGAGAGCGGAGCACGACCGAGCTGGATCTGCTCATTTGGAAGTGAAAAACTGTCTGTCCTCCCCCTCCGATGAGCTGGAGGGGCTGCATGAGACAGTGGTGGAGTTGAGGCCTGAGATCGATGGGCTTATTCTGCCTTCACTAGTGTGTAGAACTAGCTTTGCAGATAGCTAACAGTTGCTCTTGTCTTATTTCTTTTACAGATTTTTCAGACCTAAAACAACTTAAAGTTAAGGTGAGCAGATTTCTGAAGGTAAATCAGGACATTTCCAGCTCGGAGACCAAAAACAAAGAAATTTTATCAAGATGAAATTAAAAACGGGGACAGTTACAGTTTCATTTATTTTTACATATTTATTCATGTTTAAACAATAAAAATCAAATATAACAGCAGGAATATGTGTCTCTCTACACTGTTAACATAAGAGTAATAAAATGAATAAAGTAATAGTAAAAGAGTACTAAAACTGGGGGGGGGGGGGGCATCAAGGGTTTTATAATAATAAGTGAGCGTGCATACCTTGTGAATGAATGAGAACATGTATGTACTTACATAGGTGTGTATAAGTACACAGTGTATGGTTACGTAGCTGATGTGTATTTATATTGTGTGTATGTGTGAGGTGAGTGAGGGTCAGGTAGTCCGCTAACATGATCTCATCTCTGGTTCTGCGAGGTCTCCTCTGTCTGAAGAGTCATCAGCCATGGTGGTCATGGAGGTCTGGAATAGAAGAAGAGCAGAAAAGGTTTCGCACCAAACTGAAAAATCACAGATAATAGTAAAGAGAAATACTTCAAACATGAGAAATAAGACACAATTTAGTAATACCTATTATTGTCTTTTTATTTGTTCTTCCACTTATGGTATTTCATTGTCACTCAAAAAACTGCCTCTTCACACTGCTGCGGTTATGGAAGTACCATGAACTGGACGCCCAGCACAGAGAGACTCAGGAAGAACTTCTGTCCTCTCAATTTGAACCAGACATAACATCTCACCAAGTATACAGCCACTCTGTTTTGCACAGCGCACACTGCACACTATATCACTCAATACATTACCAATCAACCCACTTCAGTTTATCACTTGAACTTTGATCGTAAATATTTTACATCATAAACATGTGACAGATAAACTTGAACATTAACTTAACTGAAGAGCAAAAATCTGAAAAACTGGGTCCCAAAAGCAGAGAAGACAAGTAAAATGGAAAGAACTGTGGTGATCCTTTAGACAACACATTTAACCACCTAACAGAATCACAGGGCTAAACAACAACAAAATCCATGCTCAATAATCCAGGTATAAAATCCAACATTTTTCAGTCAGGTCATCTGAACAGTTTCTTTTTTTGTGCTGAAACGTTTCGCCTTCAATCCAGAAGGCTTCCAGGGATCCAAGATGGCGCCATGTACGGTCGCCCTGGCATTCTGGTGCGCTCTGTTTTTTCTGTTTTTGTGCGTTAATCATGTGTCTGCATGCTCCTACACTCGCGAGGAGCTACTAAACATCAGAATTACAACCCATGAGGACATTACTCCAGTTTTTTTAGTGCCTGCTGCAGAACTTGTGCACTTTTTGGCCAAAAGAGCGAGACTTCACAGGAGGGGCAGAAGAGCCGGAGCGCTCGTGCATCTCTGGAGGTGCAGTACACGCACGCCTTTACCTGGGATATTCCTCTCCAACATCCGTTCCCTCTACAATAAAATGGACGAAATAACGCTGCTGATGAGAAGGAACAGCGATTTTTCCTCCTCCTGTGTGCTGTGCTTCACGGAGACATGGCTCAAGGAGCAGACCCCGGACTCTGCGCTCCATCTGGAGGGTTTCCAGCTCCTCCGCGCTGACAGACAGCGGGAACTTTCCGGAGGAAAGAAAAAAGGCGGAGGAGTCTGTTTCTTTATCAACAACGCCTGGTGCTCCGACGTGACAGTGATCTCCCAGCACTGCTCCCCTTCTCTGGAATATCTCTTCATAAACTGCAAACCGTTTTACTCTCCACGTGAGTTCACTTCATTCACTCTGACCGCTGTTTACATCCCACCGTGCGCGGACGTGCACGAGGCTGAGCGCGCGCTCGCGGACCAGATCACGAGTGTAGAGCGAACTTTTCCGGACTCCCTTGTTATTATCCTTGGAGATTTTAACAAAGCAAACCTCAGGCATGAACTACCTAAATATAAACAGTTTATTAAATGCCCGACCAGAGAAGGAAACACGCTGGACCACTGTTACACCACAGTGAGCGGTGCTTATCGTGCTGTGCCTCGTGCTGCCCTGGGTCTCTCAGATCATGAGATGATTCACCTCATACCTGCATACAAACAGAGACTGAAGCTCTCAAAACCTGTGGTGAGGACATCCAAAAAGTGGACCAGTGAAGCTGTGGAGGAGCTACGCACGTGTTTGGACACCACAGACTGGGACCTGTTCAGGGCTTCTACAGACAGTCTAGACGAATACACAAACACTGTGACATCATATATACATTTCTGTGAGGACAGCATCATCCCATCACGCTCCAGAGTCATTTTCAATAATGATAAACCCTGGTTCACATCCAAACTAAGACAGCTTCGTCAGCAGAAGGAGGCTGCTTTCAGAGAGGGGGACAGAGACAACTACAGACGTGCGAAGTATGGATTTAGCAGGGAGGTGTCGAAGGCTAAATCCAGGTACAACACACGGCTGGAACAACAATTCTCTGCAAACGACTCTGCCTCTGTCTGGAGGGGGCTGAAAGAGATAACTAATTACAAGCTCAGAGCACCTCATTCTACAGACAATCTCAAACTGGCAAATGATCTGAACGACTTCTATTCACGCTTTGAAGTCATGGACTCACATTCCTCCATCCTCCACACCAACCCCAGCCCAACTGGTTTATCCACTTGGGACTGCCCCTGTCAACCCCCTGCTATCTCTGCACAAGAGGATGAAGTAAGGAGGCTTTTTAAAAGGCTGAATACACATAAGGCTGCAGGCCCAGACCTTGTGTCACCCTCCACCCTGAGACACTGTGCTGGAGAGTTGGCTCCGGTCTTCACAGGGATCTTCAACTCTTCTCTG